AGTTATCGATCTTGTATTAATTTCAAGGTCACTAGTTACCGAATTTGACTAAGATTAGTAAGATTTTTCTTGCTGTTTTTGATCAATTCATCCAGTTATCAATCTTATTATAATTAATATTTTGTTAGTTATAATAATATCACAATTTATCCGGTTAAGATCGAGATAGATCAGCATCATATCATGTCAATTGGTCGTCTTTTGGCTTTGTCACGATCATATCTTAAATTTGATGACTCGTTCTGTTAAGATCGGATGTTTTATCTCGATCTGAACCATACATAGTACGCTTTCAAAAACATGAATTAATTTTAGATAGATTCATTAATTGGTAAAGTTCGATTTATCGTTATTACCATAGTTGTATCAATCCGGTCGAACCTCACTGGTGAAACTTTAGATTGGGATTTATTAATTAATGAGTTTGTTTATGTTTAAGACATGTGCTTTGTTTGTTTACTATGTTTGAAATCGGCTATTTTAGCCGATTGCATATGCTTTCACATCTATAGCTTGTACCATGAAACTGTCGAAAATATAGATAGATCTATAAGTTTTTTGGTTTTAGTTTATTGTTGTTACCATAGCTGCATCGATCCGGTCGAACCTCACTGATAATGGTAATAGATTAGATCTAGTTTGTTTATAAATTTATTCTTATTATATAGTTGATTGCATACATGTTATAATTTCTCTTTTAAATCTGAATCGGCTGTTGAGCCGATAGCTTGTGCTTTCAAAGATGAAATCATTGATCTTTATAATTGGATGTATTGTACTTGTTTTTGTCTCGATTAATCAGTCACCATGAATCTGCCATGATCCATGACCATCGATTATTTTGATTCATGTCATTATCATTTAATATTAGCCGATCATTCTTGATATAAAGATCTTCCTTTTATGGATATGCTAGATATCGACTATTTAGGGTGTGTTTGGTTGAGCCGTGGCTGTGGAAAAAAGCTGTTGTGGGCTGTGAGCTGTGGGAAAGCTATTGTGGACTGTGAACTATAGAAAAACTAAAAGCTATTTGGTTAAACAAGTATAAAAATATATATATTCTATCTTTATCTCTCTTGAAACAACTATGAAAAAACTTTTTATTTCACCAATTTCGAAAAGCAAAGCCAAAAGCCAAAAGCAAAGTTAAACCAACTTTCAAAAATATACTACGAAAAAGCAGCTGCTTCTAAAAAAACAGCCTCCAAAAACAGCCCCTTTGGTTGGGCTTTTGACTTTTAAGCCAAAAGCCAAAATCAAAAGGCCAACCAAACGGACCCTTAGTCGATGGCCTTATTTATTGGTTTTCAAAGCTGTATATTTAGAACTATCTGGTGCAACACTGGCATATTTCACCTTAAAATATTAATTATCTTCTCCTTATCAATTATAAGATTAAATTGGCTTGCACGCCTCCGGCCTCGAAGCCGACCGGTCCTGTCTTACTCTATCAAGCAAATTCTTCCAGTTTGCTACGTGTTTATCCGTATTTTTTTGTGTCGACAGGCCCAAGGCCCGGCTCCAACACATGAACGAATTTGATGGCTAGGGTGGCAGTGTTTGCTTGTAGTTGTTGCATCGATCGATTCAACTCGACGGCGACTAGGCTTTCAATCAAACAAAAGAAAAAGTCGCCGACTAGCGATCCCCGCCGCCGGTTTGTTACTCATGACGTTGTATTCGGAGCTGCTGCAGATCTCCCTCGACGGATGGTCTCGCGCCGCCCGCTCGAACGCGCCGGGCGCTCGGCCGCATCTCGTTCCGCCCTCTCGGCGGCGGCCGCCGACGCGGCTGAGGCCGCCCGCGGAGCCTCGAGCATCAGATGGCACGACTATCCGGAGGAGGAGGAGGAGGAGCGACGGCGCATCCGCACCGGCACCGCGCCACCACGGGCACCACGTACGTAAGCCAATGCCCAATCCCGGACGTGACGGACAAGGACATGGAGTCCGACGAGGCCACATGGGCGTTGTACGAGCAGTGGTGCAAGGCTTTCAACAAGGTGCGTGACCGCTCCGAGATGGAGCGCCGGTTCCACATGTTCAAGCGCGCCGCGGGGTCTGGTCTCCTGCAACGAGGCTCGCGAGGGGATGCCAGGAAACTACGCGCGTTTAGGCCTTTACGCTGATGGGTTCGATGCGCGAGACATTGCCGAGCGCAAAGCAGTAATTGAAGCGGCTGGATGTGGTCACCTTCTCAGCCTCATAGACAGCTTGTACCCCCCAGATATTATAAATTAATTAGAAAGGTGTGTTTGGTTTAATTACAAGGAACTACCTCCGATCCTTCGGTAAACTCTGTATAATGTTCATAGGAGCGCATTATCAGACAATAATTGATATATACTTCACTTGCTACATCTTTTGAAAGTGGATTGCCCTCATGTCCGGTGCTAATAATAACAAGATTGTTTGTCAGACCATTTGCCTCTGTATGTACGTACATGTTGGTTTATACCGCTTACTACGCCCTGTTTGTTTCGCTGAAATTTAGATGCTTATACTAATTTATTGTGAGAGAAAAATACTATTCATTTGGCTGAAGTAAAGATGTGCATGCAGCCCGTGGGCCAAAGGCCCGGCCCAAAGCACGGTTATTGGGCCCGACCCGAGCACGGCACGGCCCGAACCCTAACCGGGCCCGTGTCGGCCCGAAGCCCGTAGCAGGCCGGGATTGTGCTGAGGCCTCGGCCCGCCGGGCGGCACGGCACGGCCCGTTTTACAACGGCTGGCCCGATGGAGGCCCGTTTTAATTTATTGAGCTGGTCGTACTATTTTTCTTTCTAGGGTTTTATCTCACGAGGTGTGAGTTTTACCTAGAATGATTTTTAATGAGGCGGCATTGCATAAAAAGCTCAACTATTTTGTCATCTGGTGTTTCTGTGATTGTTAAATATGAATATGTGAACCTGTAATTGTGCTGTTAAATATGGTGTTTATTGTGTAACGGGCTATGGGCTGGCCCGATGGACCAGTGGGCCGCGGGCTCAACGGGCTGGCACGGCCCGATATTCGGCCCACGGACCGTGCCTGGGCCGTCTGACAGGCACGGTGGACTATTCAGGCACGGCCCGGTGGCCCGGCGGGCCAAAAGGGCCCGAGCCTGATCGGGCCGTGCCTGGCCTGGGCTCGGGCCGTGCCGTGCCGTGCCGGCCCGTTGCTCATCTTTAGGCTGAAGTAGTTCAAGCGAACAGGTCCGCTTAGTAGGCGCAACTCCAAAATCACAAAGACCAAGGAAAAGTTTAATTACCACGCGGTTCCATGGGAGTCTGTTCGGTTCCGCCTCCAAACAATTACAGCTCACGCTTCTCCGTCACGAGACGTTAAGGAGCCGTTAACGAACAAAAACAAGGCCATATCCAAGTTTAATTTACACACACTGTAAATGATTGATTGTCGTCTCAATGGCAAAGAAGAGGTAAATTATTTGTCCATAGCCCCTGTAAGGTGCGATGTGACCATGCTTCGTCATTGACAAAATTTCCTTTTTAAGCCTCCCGTAGGGTTAGTTTGACACTACTTACTGAAACCTTGAGCTTACAAATGCGCCACTCTGGCCTCATCCTGAAGACCTCAACAACGTAGGCCTGTGAGCTGAAGTTCTCGTCAGCCTGATGCTTGACGTTTGGTTAGGAGGCCTGATGCTTGAAGTTCTCGCCAGCACACGGTCGTTAGCTTAAATTCAGGCACCAATCCCCCCTCTTCCTTTGTTTCTCCAACATGTTCGACCCTAGCGGCGTAGTACCGTGCAGACGTGCATGATTGGAAGGTCTTAAAACAAGCCATGGACGAAGAAGGGTTGGGCTTACTTGAAACATATATATCTGTTTGCATTTAGGGCGCGTTTAGATCCGGAAATTTTTGGGTTTTGGGTACTGTAGCACTTTCGTTTGTATTTGATAATTAGTGTCTAATTATGGACTAATTATGTTCGAAAGTTTCGTCTCGCGATTCCTCACCCAACTGTGCAATTAGTTTTTTTTTTCGTCTACATTTAGTACTCCATGCATATACCGCAAGATTCGATGTGACACTTACTGTGTAAAATTTTTTGGTTTTTGAGGGAACTAAAGGGGGCCTTAAAATTGTCAAAGACTTTGTCAAATCATCGATTGGACTTCACTATTGCGCACCTCTCGTTAAGACGATCAAAATACATACATGTAACATCCAATTTGAAATTCGGGTGACAGAATGACGGCTGCACAGAGATCCATGCTTGTGGAAATCCGCTAGGCTGATTTTGACGGCCTAATAGGACACCCTGTTCGCTTGAACTGCTTATCAGTCATGGTACGGTATTTTTCTCTCACAATAAATCAGCATCAGCCGGCTTATCAGTCGCAGAAACCATTAGCCGAACAGCACCTTAAGAGTTGTATTTTCGCACAAAATCTACAATAGCTTTGGCTCCTAACAGAGTAAGACCTCTCCACACTATAAATATAAAGGACCATGGCTGATTGAAGAAATTCAATCGACTTATCCTTTTTACCTTTGAAAAACCTAATCTCTTGCAACACCCTAATTGGTTGCTCTTCCTTTGTCTTGATGGCGATTGAAGCCTTGAAGGTGCTCAAACTGGCATGCTGACACTAGAGCAACCGAAAGTGTGTTTCCCGGGCGCGTGTTCGTTGGTAACCTGATGACTCTAACGTAACCGACCTGATCGGTTTTGCACTGGGTGCTACAGAGAGAGTGCCTTTGCATGTTTGCACATGGCGTGCTCACGTATTTGGCGCATCTAAGTGCCAACACTGACAAACAGTTGTAAAATTAATTATTTTCGTGCATCAAGATTCGTACTAATTTTGTGCAAGGAGCACTGGAGCATCTCTCAAGTCATCACTATGATATACAGAGGCCCTTAAAACACATCAATTGCAGTTGCAGCCGGTTAATAAAAGAGTTGAAATTTAGATTCACAACTACGGAGTAATAAAACTTCTTAACTGAGTCGTCAGGTTTCAGGCAAGAGTTTAACTGTTTACCATCATGTCAAAACTTGAAGCTCGCCGCCTCGCCTCGAGTTGAGTCCAGGGACATGATGTGCGTCACCAGCTTGTCAATGGCGAGGCACGACGACCCGCCCTTGCCGATGCACTCCGCCGCCGCCTTCTTCAGCTCGCCGGCCCTGGCCCTCATCTCGGCGCCGTCCGCACTGGTCATGAGCCGGCGGATGGCCGCCTCGACGGTGCCCCTCTCGAGCTCGCCGCCGACCTCGAAGCCCACCCGCCACACGTGCTCGACGTACCGCACGTTCCCCGGCTGGTCGCCGAAGTAGGGGCGGCACAGCATGGGCACCCCCTCGCAGACGCTCTCCATCGTGGAGTTCCAGCCGTTGTGCGTCCAGAACCCGCCGACGGCGCGGTGGCGCAGAACGTCCTCCTGCGGCGCCCACGACACCACCATGCCGCGCCCGCGCGTCGCGGCCTCGAACCCCTCCGGGAGCTGCTGCTGGTTGTAGTGCTGGCTCTGGCACGCCCCGCGGACGAGGCCCGGCCGGACGACCCAGAGGAACGGCACGCCGCTGCCGGCGATGCCCCACGCCGTCTCCGCCAGGTCCCACGGGGTCATGCAGGCCAGGCTGCCGAAGCTCACGTAGAGCACGGAGTCCCGCGGCTGCGCGTCCAGCCACTCCAGGCACGCCCGGTCCTGCCGCAGCAGGCTGATGTCGTCACCGCCGGCGGCGGGGGAGAGCTTGTGGAGCGGGCCGACGTCGAACACCGGCACAGCCGCGGCGAGGTCCAGCCGGATGCCTGCCAGCTCGCCGTGCTCCAGCGCGTCGAACGTGTTGAGGATGAGCCCCGACGAGGCTTCCACGGCCGCCACGGCGCGCGCCAGCAGCTCCCGTATCAGGCCGTGCCCGCCCTTGCCCAGCTGCATCAGGTCCCGCACCCGGTACGGCGGCAGCTCCGGCACCAGCATGTCCAGCTGCGAATCTGCATCGAATCGAAGAACGAGACGCGAGCAATCTTACCTTGTTGGTCCAAAAATACTGGGAACGAATCAATGAACGCATCCATCATGTCATGTATACGAACTAGCTAGAGAAAATGAAGCAGATGGACAGGAGATCGATCGACGTGCCTTGCACGGGGAGGTAGCCCCTGTCGCAGAGCATCGGGTAGGCGGCGAAGCACGCGTAGGAGGCGGCGCTGCCGGTGCGCAGCGCGAGCGCGGGCAGGGCCATGCTCGTGGCCACCTGGAACACGGGCAGCAGGTGCGCGTCGGCGACGAGGCACGCGACGGCGTCCCCGGACCTGGAGTACTCGTCCAGGACGGCGGCGAGGCGGTCCCGGAAGGCGGGCTCGCACGCGGGGCCGAGCGCGATGATGCGCGCCACGACGTCCTCGATGGCGACGGGGGCCGGGCCGGAAATGCCGTCGGGCACGGGCACGAAGCGGTACTGCGGGTGGCGCGCCGGGTCCGGGGCGTTGAAGCTGGTGTGGAAGACGGTGATGGCGAACCCGCGGGCGTGGAGCACGCCGGCGAGCCGGAACATCGGGTTGATGTGGCCCTGGTACGGCAGCGGGAACAGTAGCACGTGGCGGCGGCGGGGGTGTGGCCCTGCTGGGTGGACGGCGGCGGTGACAGCGGCACCATTGTTGCTCTCCGCGGCCATGGGTGGCGGCGCCATGGCTGTACTGTACTGACTGCTACGACGCTCTCAGTTAGTCCCACTCACAAACAGCCGGCCGGCGCTCCGTGACACGAAAAATGATCCTATATATGATACGCATGCAGAATGGGCCGCATCTCTGTGATACGCCAGTATTTTAGTGTGAAGCAACGCTATGGAGTTTGCGTTTTGTGCTGTACCGTAGTGCCAAACGGTCGGAACGCGATCGGGCACATGCAGACATGGTCGGATCTGCATGGACCATGTGGCCTGACGCTGTCTAGTGGTCCCGGTGTCCGGAAGCCGTATGCCCGCGACGTCGTCCAGCCAGAGCCAGCCCGTGGGATGCTGCTTTGGAGATTGGAATTGTAATATATATATATATATATATATATATATATATATATATATAAACATTATTATTATAATATAGATAATTGTAGAACAAGTACATGTTTATAGTTAAATTGCAAAGATAGTCCATCAGGACTATCAGTCTGGGTGCCCAATTCCTGTGCACCCCAAGGTGGATTGTTGACACGTGTACAGAAAACCAAATCGTATGTCTAGCAAAATCTGCAACACCTGAGTCCCTGCATGTTGTTCTTGGCTTTCTAAATTTAGCCTCCACGCATGCTGCCTAGTGCCTCGTGTGATATTTTGTTCCGCCATATGTTGATCATCTACTATAGGGGTGTACAAGAATTAGGTGCACCTAGGATCCACCCAATTTAATTCCGGCCGCAACGGTTAGTTAAGACGAGAAAAATTGGCAATGCTCGCTCCAGCTTCTTTAGGTTGCAGTTGTTGCTGCGGCTGCAAAAAAACAACTACTTTGTACTGTAGCTAGTCCTACAAACAGCCACAGTGGCAGCCCAATAAGGGCCTGTTTGGAACGAAGGAATGCAAAACGCAGGAATAGAAAAAAACGCAAAAATAAGGTACGACAAAAAGTGAAAAACTACGGGATTTCAAAACACAGGAACAGAAAATTTAGGCTGTTTGGAACACAGGAATTCGTAACATAGGAACCACACGCGCTGCCTCTCAGCCTTCCGTGAAGGAAAAGAAAACCTTGGATGCAAGTGGAGTTTTTGATTCCTGTGAAATCGCTAGCAAGCTACAACATTCCATAGGAAAGAGATTGCGTGAATCCTCCGTTCCAAACACTCACTCCTACTTCCTTTCCTCTGTTTTCCGGTTTCTACGAATTTCCTTTGAAAATCCTCCGATCCAAACGACCCCTAAGTTGCAGCGAGTATGTCAAGTCAAAGTACTGTTCATTTGTATAGGGAAAATCATTAATCTCAGTGCCCCAGCTATACAGGTTGCTGCAGTACCATGTTTTTTTAAGAAAACCGGAACATATATGATTATTTCTATATATTAAGCCAAGGTTTGGCCAGCAACCAGGGTGTCCACGTCGCCCGAAATTTCCCCTGTCGTCCGATCTCGCGTTCGAAGGCCCAGATCACTCGAAGCGGATTCTGTTACTTTCGTCGAAGCCAGTTTGGTTTGGCCGCCTCCTAGCGCATCCACGTCGCTTCAGATTCGCGTGGCCGTCGGATCTCTCATCGTGTGGGTATCGTGTCCTAAAGCGGATTTCACGTGCCACGGCTCCTGCAGCTTTTGTTGCCAGAGTGGCTCTCCCTCGGCTTCGCTTCCGAATCAGCGCGCTCAAATATATACGGCCCTTCCGCTTCTCATCTCCAGATTCTTCCCCTTTCTATCCCAACCGCCTCTGCCGTCCCTCGCTCGCGCTCCGCCTCCGCACTGCGCCGCCGCCGCCCGGGCCTCCTCTCGCCTGCGCATCCACCGGAGAGTGCTGTCCCACGGCGGATCCGGTCGTCGTTAGCTCTCATTGCTGCGACAATGGACCTCTCCTTTCCTCCCTCGTCCTTGTTTCTCAGGTTACCAAAACCCTAGCTGCGTCGCATCAGTACGCCCCCTACTTAGCGCTCCACCTCTGACTGAGCCACCTTGCATTGGAGTCTTCACGTCGCCTCTGTACGGCAGGGGGCTCCCGCTGGTCCTCCAAGGGCGGTGGCCCTGCTGGGCCCTCGTCATGCTGCCTCCGGTCTTCTCAGGGCAACAGCTGCTTCAGTGGCCTTTCTGCGCTTGCTTCACCATCCTTGACAGTCCGCCTCAAATCCCGCCGGTGTTCCTCGTGCCGTACAACCTGCTACGCTCGCTCCACAGTTTCCATTCTTCTATTTCCTGGTCAGTTTCCTCCAAACGTCCCTGTGTTGCCCTGTAAGGACTCATAAGGTTTACTGATCTGGTGCCACCCATTCTGTTAACAGATCTGGCGCTGAGTCGTACAGCAACACCTCAGCTATATATTGACGCTATATGTTCTTACCACATGCTATATGTTCGTTGGAAATAGCTACATTGTCTTTGTCACATGTCTTCCTATTGTTGTGCTTGAACCATTGGTCCAGTAGCTTGCACTGTCTCATATGCTCAAACCCACCGTGTGTATGCTGTTGATTTGGGTCCATGTATTTTTTAAAGTGTTTCGGGGTTTAGGGTTTAAGCTTGCGCTTGTCCTATGGATGCGCCGGTTTTAGGTCGTCCGTTATCAACCATATTGTGCTTTGTTTGTTGTTTTGGTATCTCTGTTGTAGTGCGCACAACTCCATTGTTCAGATTTTTACTCTGTGTTCCTACACATCTACAGCCAAGCCTCCTGCTGCTGGTGCCTGATTTTTGAATTGCTCTGGTGCTGTTGCTGTTGCTGTATTGGACTAACCAGTGAGTCATGATGTTCCATGGCATCCCCAACATACTTTGTTAAATCCATCCTATACCACCCAGATCTACATCGGCCTCCACGACAGCCTAGCCTTATTCAGTCACACAACCAACCTCCACTGATCACACCATCCATATGTCATATAGCAGGACCTTCACAAAGTGTACCTCCACATGAGATAGAGCGAATGGATGTTGCCGCTTTACAGCATCGTAGTTCACACGTGTGTTTACTCCGTCTTTCGTTTGTTCAGTTTCATCTAAATCTTATTCCCCCTACGTTTTATTCACTACATGTATGAACTTGCCTGCATAATCTTTTATGATGAAGTATGATTGAGTTATTGATTTAACTTGGTTTAAGCTTATTAAAATGGTTCAAAATTATTTAAATATTCCCTTTAAAATGCATAATGAAGTAATGACCTGTACCTACTTTTAAAACCTGCACCAAAGTGGCCAATCATAGCACTGCCTTCTACAAGTAATTTAGACAAACAAATAAACAATAGAAGTAATCATTCCTATATTCCTTATGTTACCTCCGGTGAACTCCACTGCAGTCCCAGTTGGGGACAGAAGTGCACGAAACACTCATGAAGCAAATAGCCCTTACCTCACTTACAGCAACTCCAACAGGTTTGCTATTCTGGTTGTGGAGACTATTTTACAATTTGCATAGCAAAAACTAGGCTCCAACAGCGGTGCTATCTAACTTTGTAAAATAGGAATACCTTGTATTTACTGCATATATGAGAACCTCTGATTCATGGATACTTATACATGCTCAGTGTATGAATATTAAGGGAAAAAATATTTTAGTAGAGCATGTGACCAATTTGGGGATTTCGCTATGGTTCACTTATGCCATCTTATTCTTATGATTCATTAATTGTGATTCTAATCTGGATGCATGAAAAATATGCTCATTAAATACCTACTCTTTATTTGCCCTTTGATTCACACACTTCCCCATTTGTTGATAGCCATCTGCACCATATTTACAACCTGCTGACACAACATTATAAGAGGCACCTACCAGGTAAGTAACCATGGCAGCTAGCTAATGTTCTTATGTTCGTGACTAAATGTAGTTATCCTTCCACATCTAACAAACGTGACATCGGTGTGCTCCTGTATTTTACACACACAAAACATCAGCATTATGAACCCGGTGGTGTCCCTATGCAACACCCTGCTGCAGATACCCAGGAAGTATTAACCGTTGTCAGCACAGGTGCTCTTAACATTTTGGTGCGCCCACCTTATTTGTATCATTTATATTTATTTGCATTTCACTATACTAACATACATCTTCATCCTGCTATCGCACACACCACCTCCGAGTATTACTCTCGAACAAACACCCCAAAAGGACATTGTCGCTAAGTAAGTCAACCTCTGATCAAATCTAAATGTCCTCCATGCTTTTATGTAGGCCTTCATAACATATTTATACACTTTTGAATTTATAGCTTCTTCCCAGACGAGCAATCTGTCCAAAGGTCCCTCTTCCACAGTGCAGCAACAGATGAAGAGATTAGTAGCCACTGCGGCGTAAATTTTCCCTTTTTAATTTTCATTCTCATAGTATCTGCAAATTTGGTGCTCCCACGATAGATCAGCTAATTATGTGTTATTTCCATATATGCAGTTCAAGTCCTGAACTAATGTACATGTTCAAATTTGCTATGTCAGGTGCAAACCAAAACACCAGCTGAAGCATCTAACACAAACCTGGTTCACAGTGATGGTCCAAGTGAGAATGCAGACCCACCATTACAGAACCAAACGAAAAAGTAAGCACACAGACATCGTGCTTACATATATACATAGATTTCAAGGCTGTCTATGTCCTGATCCTGATATATGTCCTAAACAATGCAGGCCAAGACTTGGGAGTTCCAAACCTGAAACAAAGACCGCCAATTGCAAAGCTCAGTAACTACATATCTACTTTTGCAACAGGTCAGCACATACATATACCGTTATAAATACACTTTGACTATACCTGTTATCACATAAATATTTTCCCATGTGCCCTCAAATTCCTATTTTCAATAGTGATTGTTCTTATCTCATATTATCCCGCACACACCGCTCAGAAAAACATTGTAGTTTCTGACAACTGACAACTGATATATAATACAGGCATAGACTTATGTCAGAATTTAGCCTCCCATTCATGTTATAAATCTATTTCCAAAATAAACCCAACTTTTGCCTCTCCAAGCAGGTACTCCCGCTGAACAAAGTGTCTG